TCCTTTCGGGCGTTTTCAATAACCTTTAAACGTATGCAAACAAAAAATTCCCCAATTTTTTATTGGTTAATTTCGTAAACGTTGGGATAAAAAAGCTATATTTGGTAAACCGGCTAATTATTACCAATATTACATTGCGCTTTTTGCCGGTTTTATTTATTAACGTTAAAAACTTTCCAATAAAATCCATTAATAGCTTTTGTTCCGGGCGGTTTAATACGGGCAAAAATGTTAACAACCCGTAAAGTGCTTGTGTTTTTGGTTTTATTTGCTAGCATATTTAATACGTTCGTACGTATTTGCGTACGTTTTTAACCATACCCAGCCATTTAAATTGCCGTTTAAACTTTTTTAAAATTTTGGCTATGCTTTTATAACCCCCCGTTAAATTATCGTATTATTTTTAAAGCATTGTTTGCTTAAGCAATGTTAAATTTGGAATTTAAATTTTCTTTTTATGCTTAAACAAACCGTTATTAATTTTCCAAACGTTAAGTTTATTTTTCCAAATACCGCTTTAAACGAAATCGTTTTTTGCTTATGCTTTAAAAATGCATTTTAATATTGTTTTAATATCCTTTTTAGTAATAATCGTTTTTACGTAAATTGTTTTTCGGAATTTGGCTAGCAAATTGCTTCGGAATTTTTTTTTTGCTATATTGGCTTTTCCGTTTACGGGTATATTTTGGGAACGTTTTAACAAGCCATTTGCGGGGTTCCGGTATTTTGGCTTTTATTTAATCGTAAAGTTATACTTTGCTAAATTTTTAAACCATTTTGCTTAACGTTTTATTACTTTTTCTTTTATTAAAATATGGGTGTAATTTAAATGGTTAATAATTATTTTAATAATTTTTTGTAAATAAACCAAATAATGCCGTTACTTTTCGAAAGCTTTTACAATTGCTAGCAATTTTAAATTAAAAATTGCATAGCGCAACTTTTTTTGTTGCAACTTTTTCGATATGTAAGTTACCGGGTGCTACCGGCCGTTTTGCAATTGCAATAACACCGCCTTTATTGCAAAAGCCAAAGCGTTAATTCGCACGCATAACGGTTTTAAAAGGTCGAAATGCATTAATACCGGAGCTTTCGTAAATAGCAATTTTAATTTGCAAAAAGCCTTTTTTTGCAATATTTCCTAAATAAAATACGGTGTTTTTGTTAAAAAGGTTTGTTAAAAGCATAGTAATTTTCGCGTAACCCTTTACGAATTTCCGATAATACCCCGTAAAGCCCAAAAATATTTGGATATTTTTAATGCTTTTTAGTATTTTCCATTTTAAAATTGCAATAACCTTATTCGGCAAAATTTTAACCCCGAATTTAGTTATTTTAAACTTTAAAAAATTAATACTATCCGTTTCGAATTTGCATTTGGCCGGGCTAACGTAAAATTTAAATCGTTCGAATCGTTCCAATATCGTTTTTATTGCTTTGCGGTGCTTTTTTTGTATTTTCGAAAAAATAAAAATGTTATTTAAATATACAATGCAATTGCTATTAATTAATTCCCCAAGCGCTATATTAATAAAGCTTTGGAACGTTATTAAAGCGTTGGCCAAACCGAAAAGCATTACTAAGTATTTGTAATGTTTATATTTGCAACGGAAAGCAATTTTCCATTCGTTTTTTTGTTGGATTCGTATTTTGTAATAAGCGTTTTTTAAATCCAATTTGGTAAAGTATTAGCTTTTAAATACCCGGTTAAATATTTTGTAAATTAGCGGAAATGTTAGCCGGTTTTTTTTAATAACTTTATTAAAACCCCGATAATTAATACAAAAACGAAGCTTTTTTGTTTTTTTTAAAATAAATAAAATTCCGGCGCCGGCGGGGTTAATTAAATGCCGGATCCAACCTTTTGCTATAATTTCGTCGAAATATCCCCGGAAAGTTTTTAATTTTTTTTTAAATAAAGGATAAATACTTTCGTAAAACGGCATCGTTTTTTTTTCCAATTTAATTGCGTAATTTTAATTTGTATATTTTAGCAAAAGGTTCGATTTATAAAGCTGCGCATATTTTGCAACCATCTTTTTAACCCATTCCGGAAAAGCTTTTAGCCTTTTCCCGGGGTCCTTTAAAATTTCCGAACGTGCAACCGTTAGCACGGCTATCGTTTGTTCCAATTAAATTAATTTTTTAGCTATTTCCAACAAAATTATTTTAACCTTTTTGGTAATTACCGGGAACTTTTATTTTATATTTCCAAACCGGATTTTAATATTTTTTTGCTAAAGCTAAAGCATGCTTAACGTAATGTTATACCCGGCCCGGGGCACCATTACGTAAAATACCATTAACTTTTGGGTTATTTTTTAACTATCCATTACCCAAATTTTGTACTTCCTTACCTTTAGCGTGGGCATGCGTTTTTTGGTATTAAATTACGCTAAATGGCCCCCGTTTGGCACCGGTATTTTTTTTGCTTCCATTAAAAAACGGTTGTGCAATAAGTTAACGTTGCTTTTATTATTAACCAACGCTTTTAACTTTACCCGGCAACCGTTAATTTGTAAATACATTTCGATTTTTTAGCGCGTTTTAACCGCCAAAGCGCATTTTTAAGCCCCGGTACTTAAACGGCCAAATAGCGGTGTTAAATTAAATAGCAATATTTTGCTTTTTTTGGGGCACGCCGGCCGGATATGGCCCAATTTTTTATATTCGTAACACCGTATTTCGGGCCTTTTCCCTTTCGCTTTTTGTATGGTTATTGGAGCTAACGGAATTTCCGGGTTATCCGTTTATGTTTTGCATACTGTAACAATATAGCCCAATTGCCCGTACTTAAAGCAAATAACCGGTTTTTTAAAGGCTAAAACATTTGTATCCCCCGGGGTTCCTTTGTACGGTCCCAATATTATTTTTGCTTTAAAGGCTTTAGCTTGCAATTTTTTTATAATATAAGGAAAGCTTTTAAATGTTACCCATTTTTGGATTTCGGGCAGGGTTCGGAATTTAGTTAAAAGTTATTAGTCAAAGTCATAACTTTTTTAGTCAAGTCAGTCACAGTCAACAAAATAACTAACTAATGACTGACTTTTTTTTTAATTAACTGATTAAAATGACTTTGCAAATCATTTCCAGTCATTTTTAGCACAACTTTACATAAATTTTGCATAATTTTTAAGCATTTTTAATTTTAAAACCCAATTAATATTAACGTAAAAATGCAATAAAAAATAGTAAAATAATAAATTAAAGTAATATTAACAAGAATCGCATGGAAATTGGTAAAAATTGCTAGAATTTCCGGATTATTAATATAAATTTACGTAATTTATTACAAATTATTGCATTTGCAATATTAATAACATTACAAATGCAATATTATTAATATAATTTACATTAATAAGCAATAAAAATAGCTAAAAGTTTATTATTATTAATAAAACCCTTTGTAATGTTAAAAAGAATTGCATGGAAAGTGGTAGAAATTGCTAAAAACTGCTAGAATTTCCGGATTATTAATATATATTTAAACGTTTTATTGTTAATAAAATACAATTTGCATTACAAATGCCTTTTTATATTAATAAGCAATAGAAACTTCTAGAAATTGTAATATTCCTATAAATTTAACGATTCCTTTCGCTTTTATTTTCCTTTTCTTTTTCTTTTTACAACCTTTATAACTTTATTATATATATTTATTGCTTATTACTTATTATTTTACGCTTTATTATATTATATAACTTATTACCGTTAAAATGCCGTCGAAAATTACTATCGATATTGAAAATTCCAACGATATTAAACGGCTTTTATCGATTTTAAAACAACCCCGAATTAGCCGGCAAAACCATAATATTCCGGCAATTATAAAGCATAAAATTTGCACTTATTGCAAATTAAAAGGCCATACCTACACGCAATGCTGGTTTTTACAACCAAATAAAGCGCCAAACGGTTGGAATGTTAAAAACCAACCAAATAACAACGTTTACGCTAAAAAGCGTGAATATTTCCTTTCCGTTTTACAAAATAAAAACGATAAAGATAATAAAGAAATCGATATTACCGA